CCCCGGCCCGCCCCCAGGCTCACTTGTTGAGTGCTGCTGCTTATGGGAGTGAACTCCGCGCCCCAGTGTTGACTTACAGCGAAGTGTACCCACCGGCTTATATTGGGCTGGCCTCGCCGCCGCACCAGCTGCTGCGCGGAATGGTGTCGATTCGACGTCGTTTGCGAGAAAACCGCGTACTACTTTGGTTCGGGCGCGGCATCGCACTCTGTAATCTTAAACCAAATCTTTGCCATCAAAGGAGTTCCAAGCGTGCAAAGCTCTGTTCAAAGAAAACACTTTTGCTCACGATCAAACTGATTTCTACCGCGGAAAACACTCACCTTCGATGGAAGACTTTGTGACGTAATGTGGTCTAACCTCACAACTTTCAAGTTCCCTGGCCCGGTCTCGCGGTTGGATGGTTATTATTTTTGGATTCAGTGGCAGCTGAACTTTTGTATTCCATATTATTCTTCTATTTAAAAACTCAAAAAACAATGGGCCACACACCACTACCACATCAGAACACATAAGCTGAACGCACATGCTCGTACCGAGAAAAATAAACAACTACTGCAGCAACGTTCTTACCTTCCTTCTTCTCTTGAGGGTGATCGGCCGACTTCCGGTGCCGATCTCGGATGTTTCCCAAAACTTTTGGTAGGCTCTTCTTAACATTTTGGATGACAAAACACGAAATATTTCAGGGACTGTGTGGGTGTGGGAGATTGGCACCGAAAGTCGAAAAAGCCGAGGAGACCTCCTCTCCGATCACACTCCTGTTCATTTTCGTATCTTTACTCCAGTAGTAACCAAGTATCCCATATGAGAAATTGTCATATCCTCCCAAAGGCAAACTTTGAGAGGGAAGGTTGCTGCAGGAGGGAATACCAGACTCGGGCTCAGTGAACAAAACTTTTTTGCAGTTTGAATCGGATACGTCCAGAGTAGCCAGCCAGGTTTGCTGCCACGGCGGCGCAGCAGGGACAAACACACGCCCCGAGAGGGACGCCCCCCCCCCCGCTCATCCTCCTCCCCTTTTGCTCCGAAAGGCTTTTAGCAACCTGTCGGCCCGCTTGGTGGGGGCGGGCGAGTAGTGCCCGTGCCGAGCGTGGGCGTCTCTGGGGGGCGGCGCGGGACCTTTCCTGGACCCGTCCCTGGCCTGGCCACCCCCTCCCTGGTCCCCGAGCAGACCGCCACGCCAGACCAACGCCGCCGGTGGGCCCGGGCCGGGCGGGGCGGCCAGGGCCACGCGATCAAACGTCAGGCAGGTCTCTGGGGTCACCTGTCAACGTCGGGTAAGCGATGAGAGCTCGGCGGCAATGCTGCTGCTGCTGCCGCCGCCGCCCTCAAAGCACCACCACCAAGTTTTACTTAATGCGCGGCGCCACCTTCTCGCCGGGGAGGAGCTGCCATCCTGCCTCGCTGGAGCTGGAAGCGCTGGAAGCGTGCCCCCCTGGGAGCGGCGGGTGGCGGCAGCGGCGGCGGGACCAGCCAAGTTTGCCCGCACAAGGCAGCACAGGTTTACCTCGAACCACTTACCACCAGAAATCTGGCGCATTATTGAACAGTTCCGCGAGTCTTTCTTGCAGCTCCCTCGCCGGAGTGGCTTTCTATTATTTTTCAGCCCAGTCGGTGGAAATCCTTTTGCCACCGCTTCGTTAATTTTTAATCCGTGTGCGGTAGATCTCCCCCCTCCCCCCCCCCTTGCAGTGAAACACGCGCGAAAACACAAACCGACACAACACACCGCGCCGACTGGTTCGAAGGGGTTGGGCCGGGCCGAGGGCCGGGCGGCACTATGCACAGTATTTATTCAGCTGGGAGTTAGTTTGAAGGTTTAGTTTGTTGTTCTCGCCCCGAGATGTGCTCCTCCTCCCCCAAGCGCCTCGTCGTGGGACGCCGCCTTCTCTTGTTTCGCGCGTCGTCTCGGCCCGCGCGCCTGCCCATGCCCGTCACCCCCCCCCCCCCCCCCCCCCCCCCCCCCCCCCCCCCCCCCCGCTGCGTCGTCGTCGTGCTGCCTGCCGTAGCACAAAAGTCGCCGACGCCGAGAAGACGTGGGAAAAGTTGTCGTCGTCGACCTCATTACGCGGATGTCTCCGTGCGGAGGGGAGGGGGAGGGAAGTCCACAGGCGCGCGCGGCGCTCGTGGCGTTGTAGCGGAGCGGGGCGAGCCGGGCGCAGTGGTAGAGGGCAGTCTCCCCAAAGTGTTTCACGGGCGTGCTGTCGCGCCCCACGCCCACACCCCCCGGCGGCGGCCGCACCCGGGTTCCGCCCGGAGTCCCAGCCCAGCGGGCCTCTCCTCTCCTCCTTTGAAACCGTATATCGTCCGTGCTGGCTGGAGGGAAGGCCAGCCCCGACCCGGTCTCCGTCAGAGAGAGGGGAGAGAGAGCTGCACTAGCCGCCGCTCCTTTCCGTCTCACGTTACGCCCCCCCCCCCCCTTTTCATGTCGATGTGCCTATGAGTGGCCGGCCGCGTGCTCGCCGGGCAGCCAGGCCATAGGCGCAGCTGGAGGGTCACTAGAGAGCTCGCAGAAAACGACAAACGTCCTTCCAACCCCTAGCCCCCCCCCCTCTCGCCCTGTTTTGACTGATCTAGAAGGCGCCTTTGCGGCCTCTCTAATGCCCCCCCCCCCCTATGGAGCGGGGACGAGGGAGACGAGGAGATGAGGGAGGTTGGTTCAAGCTGAGGGGTCCGTGGGGATGCCTCGAGCTAAGTGGCTGTGGTCTCCGAGGGGCCTCTCTCTCTCTACAACAGCACCGCGCCCTGCTGCACCCGGGCACAGCTGGTATGAGGCGTCCAGAACTTGTGTGTGTGTGTGTGTGTGTGTGTGTGTGTGTGTGTGTGTGTGTGTGTGTGTGTGGAGGGGGGGGTTGTGGCTTAACGTTCAACGGGGGTGAATTCTGTTGGCCCACCTACATGGGCTGCGCGCCCGGCTCCACTGCTGTTGCCGCTTGTTCTCTGGGGGCCCCTTGCAGGCAGGGGGTGCCAACTTTGTGCATTACACCGACAAATTTGCACGGCGGACGTCGAATTTGCACCCGAGGGCGTTGTTGCTTCGCAGGCACGGCGAGAGGGGGGGGGGGTGAGGGCGGCGGCGTGGAGTGGACGGAATGGGAGTGAGGGCAGAAAGAAGTCCCGCAGTCATCGCCGAAAATCTGTTACATTTAGCGATATTTTATCGCATGGAATGCGCAATCGATAACCGAAGAATAATCAGATGTTCCGAAAATAACATAAAGCCGATGTAGATAACTATGATTCTGCCGGACTCTACTTCGTTTTGGTGGCCATCGAGAGGGAAGTACAACGGGTACAACGCTACAACGCGCAACACGTTACCATGGAAATAGAGTAGGCCTCGTTCAGCTTTCGGTTCCGAGTTCGGGTAGGTTACAGTCCGCAAACTATTGGTGTTTTTAAATTCTTTTTGACGACAAAACACGAAAATTTTGTGGACTGTATCCGAGATTGGCACCGGAAGTCAATAATAATCCGGGGAGCTCCGATCACCAACCAGCTCCGGAACCTACCTGGTTTCAGATGACCCATGAAAAATTAAGCGTAACACTTCGGTATTCGGAGGAGCAGGAGCCTGAGCCTAGCCTATTCGGTCTATGACATGACGTGACAATAATATTGCTTGACTTTGACTTGGTTGAAGTTAAGTGATTCATTCTGAAAGTAGATTTTCTACTTTTTAACCATCTTCAACATTACGTTAAAATAATTATCTTAAAGTGAAAAATCTGTGACGCGTGATGAAAGCAAGATTGTTATCTGACATCTAAAAATGTGGTTATCTTCCCGCCAATTAATTGCACTGTTATGATTGGGCGATCTTAAAGTTGATCACTTGATCACTCGTGCCCGGCCGACCCATTGGACCCATATCTTTGACAGAGTTCCTTTATCTGCCGCGTTTCATTCATCGACGCCGACTTAAAGTTCATCACTTGGCAGAGAAATAATGGTCTGTTGTCAGATAATGTTAGCGTGCACCTCTTCTATTGTATGCACCTATTTTGACAATTTTCTTTTGGTTTAAGGTGGATTCTACCGATATGGTCAGCATGGATGAGAAAGTTCATGTGAATATCAAAACAGAAAACAATCAAGTCAGTTCAAAACATGACAGGCCAGAAGAAATTGAAGCTACCTTTGACCGATCCGTAGTTGATCTTCTTAAGAAATGTTATGTTAGAGGAAGGAGATGGGGTACAGTAACATTATTTTCAAAAGGAAAACAAACTGTTTGTCTTACTTTTTGTTCATCAAATTAATCTTGTTTCTATAGGTAATCGAACAATCAACAATCTACCAGAACTTTTATCAGAACTGCGAGTCCAGGATCTCTTAAAAGAAATCAAAACTCTGATTAGTAACCATCCCATGGCTGCTGCAATTGTTACAATGATAGCTATTGCTTGTGGAATTCCTATTTTTATATTCGTGGCATTTGCTGTCATAACAATTTTCTTTACAATCTGTGGATTTCTGGTTGTTGAAGGTAGGTAGTCTCTCACTTGCTGCTACCCAATGTTTGTTATAGTAACATCAGTTTCATATAATTTATGTCTCAGGTGCTATATTGGCTGCAGGATCATTTACTCTTTTACTATGTCTTGCTTCCATGGCAGTTGCCTTCATAACAATGGGTTTCTTTGGAGGTCTTCTTTATATTACTTACAAACAAATTGATAGAATGTTAAACAAAAATGTTGTAAGTGAAGAAAGTCTCCAGCAATTTGAAGCTCACCTTCCTCAGATTTTAGCCAGTTTGAAGAGCTTGCCCCATATAAATCAGCAACGAGGACGAACTTCACATTCCAATAATGGACATACCCATGTACATAACTTCAAGTGAGATGATTGCTTTTGTAATATTTTTATTTGTTTTTCTAGTTTTCATCTAAGTTTTAACTTAAGTGACTACGTATTTCATGTATCCTCAATAACTAAAATCTTTAAAAAATGTGGTAAATATCCTCAAAGTAGGTCATTTATGTATGATTCAATCAGTAATCATCTATTTTTATCAGTTTTAATTACTAGTATTGTGACTTGCCAGTAAATTGTACATTATAGACTGGATCACTATTAAAATATACTTTTATGACAGTAATATTTGACATTTAAATTATACTATAATTATTTTGACTTGCATATGCCAAATACATACACACAAGTGAAGTCCACATGAAAATATGTACAACTGGCATACATTGGAGAGGCAAAGCATCACTCAAATGCCTTTTGAGCCCTAGAAACAAAAGTACTATTTAGTTATTTACTTTCAGGGACAAAGATTGAGTACTTCACACAATTCAGCAACTTACTTTTCATAAATAGCTTTCAGTATTCTTTTGCTCTGCTTGAATCTATCTTCATTTTCATTGGCCACTTTGATCCAGTCATTACGGACACCTGTCCATTTAGCAACATGTTCTTTCAACAGTTCTTCTTTGCTAAGAGATTCGGAGCCCTATTTGAAAAATAATTAAAATGAGTTCACGGAGTTAAAATAGTAAAATGAATGGGACTAAGTTGAGTGGAACACATGATAAAACATACATTAATGATAATATCTAAGTTGGAGGCTGCATCTGGCTTTTGGATTGGATATCTTAAAAAGGCAAGGGAATTTGGAGGCGGTAGACTGTACGTGTCTTTCACAAGATCAGCATCAACCTCTGGATCATCCATGTCCATGCCCTCACCAGAGCCATTTGCAACCCGTTCATCATCATCAACTGGTTCCTGCTTTGGTTTGGTTTCTGGTGATTGTGATCTTTTGCTGTTGAGACAGTAAAAAACAAACCCATATTATTACATGAACTAATGATTAGGTGATTAGTGAGGAATACTCAAACTTAGACACCACTAGAAAAGTATTACATTTCCTTCAACTGAAGATTACGTGGCTGATTAGCCATCCATGCCCTGCAAATGGGGTAAAGAGGGGTTCCATCTTTAAATTGTGCCAAATCCACACTACGGTCAAAGAGTTTCATCACAAATGTATTGTGATACGCAACTTGACTCATCTCAGCCCGTCGCTGCTTTCTACGAGCTGCAGTCCTACAATAATAATTGAACAATAACTATTGTCAGATAAACAGTAAGAAAAATAGCTGTTGTGTTAGTTATCGAAATATATTTTACTAACGCTGCTCGCTTTTCTTCCTGTCTGGCAAGGAGTTGCTCTTGCTTCAATTGGCTCAAAAGTTCATCTTGTTTACGCTTGTGTGGATGTTTATGAAGTTCATCATTTCCACATGACTCAGATGGATCAAGGAGGAGGTGCAAGGCCCCCCGAAGACGACCACGAGCAAGGGAAACATCGTCTGTAACAGAATATTCAAAATAGTACAAGGTTTTTTAAGTATTATTAACCGTTGCTGCAAACCCGCAGATAACCTCAACGAAATCAAATGCCACCAACCGTTGACAGCGCGCTCCCTATCCGTCTCCAGCCCCTGTCTTACACTTTGACCTGCATTACCCCTTCTTCTCTTGACCATATTGCACCAAAACTGTCGCCGAAAACGATGTTAAATAACGGAAAACAATCAACTTCTGTTGCACTTGCCAGAAGTAAATTCAAACAGTCCTCAAACTTGAATCTACTGCTGTGTGTGTTTACATGAGTGCAGGTGCAAAAACCTGTCGTTAAAAAGAAATTATATTTCGAGAGAAGGAGGGGTAATTCTTATGTATAATAATGCCAAATGAGGCATACTCGTCAACTTTCAATAAGTTTTGAAAAAAAAATAGATCAATCGGATTGCTGCTTAAGATAAAACAAATAAAAGACAAGCTATAATTTTGGAGGTGTTGTTGGTAGACATATTAATGCAAAATCCACACCGGATGAGAAATTTATCAGCATTTTCTGGGAGGTTTTCATTAGGCCACAAAACTGAGATCTCTCTCTCTCTCTCTCGTCATTCCCTTGACAGGGGTTTCCCACCTCGCGGGTCGTATTTGTTGGACATGAAAACCCTGTTTCATTTAAATGAATTACCTTCACACGGATTTTTACGCCTCGTTTACTACCTAAACTTGCACTTTCTCCCTCCACAACTCACTACATGCCCCCACCCTTCCCACTCCTCCTCGTCGACTGGTTAGTCTGCTACGCTGGCCGACCGCTAGTCACAAACATTTGTGGTTTGTTTGTTGTCTGCCGTTTCGTTCTTTTGACAGATCATTGAAGCCTGCGGCATTATGCTGGGTTCAATCCCCTCAAATTGCTGCGCTTTGTTTGACGATTTACTGTAAATTGTCAGTTAGGCTATTTTACTAGAAATATCCCTGGTGTCAGCAGCGGCCGATCTCCTCTTTTTTGTTGTTGTTTTTTTGGGGGCTTTTTAAAGGGAAGTGGAGAAAAATGATCACAGAGCAAAGTATTCGAGAAAATTACCCATTGCACTGGTGCATTTGGAATAATGATCTGCAGGGAGTGAAAGATGGTCTGAGTGGGGCTACCGTAAGTATGTGAATTTTAAGCAGCATTGTTCATTTGTTATGTCAAATCTTGGAGGTTAAGATTACACTTAATGAATGTATTAATCATAATAGCATAATTCTTAAATATTTTTCTACTTTTTCACTCTATTCCTCCCTCCTCCCCCTCTCTTTCTATTATTATATATAGTTTTGTGTATAATCGTGCCAATCATTTGACATCTTGGGATCATACTGAAAAACAATTGTTACTGTTGCAACTGTTCACATTGGCCAATTTAATTCTGATTATCATTGTCACTGGAGCCTTCAGCTGTAAAACTTACACACTTTTTTATTACTTTGTAAAATTTACTATGTAAATGGAAAACCAGTCGAGGGTTGACAATTGTGCACATTGTTTTGTCCCAAGTCCTTAGCTTTTAATTGGTATTTTGTCCTAATTTATATTGCTTTTCATAGACAACTCTTCTTAGTCGTAAAAGCCAATAATTTTATTCAATAAGCGTACAGAGATCATGAGGGCTATGGGCTTAGGACAAGGGCTCTAGGCCAAGGCTGTGGGGGGAGTGGCACTGAAAGCTAAGAAAACCTACAAGTGCTTTGCTCTGAAGCCCTCGTTTGTCTTACACAGTTAAATTTTAGCCCATTCCATATTTTAAGGCCCATGTAATTTTTCATATTAAAATTGAAGTGGATGAAGTTTGTGTTAGTTTAATCTGTTTTTGTTCCAATTTAGGTTGAAGTTGAAAGAAAGGATGTCAGAGGTCGCACTCCTTTAATGTTAGCTGTCACACTTGGCCGTCTTGAAATAACCCAAGAGCTTATCCGACATGGAACTAATGTCAACACTGAAAACAAAGAGGGCTGGACAGGTAAAGCAAAAACTAAATTTTCTTAAGGACCTAAATCTAACAAATTAAAGACAGTTTACAACATGTTTTTTCTTTAATGCTTGCTCTGCACAAATTATTCTAGCTGTTCAAGAGGCTGTAGCAACAGGAGATCCTGATTTAGTATCTCAAGTTTTAGAGAGAAGAGACTTTCAGCGGCACTCCTCTCGTGTTGGAGGAGTACCAGAACTACTTCGAAAACTCAAAGAGGTGAACTTACAACTACCTATTTGCAAAAGAAACAAGTCTTAAGATACACAGCTATTATTTCATGATTTCATTTTTGTTACAGGCTCCGGATTTCTATGTGGAAATGAAATGGGAATTCACCAGCTGGGGTAAATAAACGGACTCAACATTTTCACCACTCACCTACTTAAGTGATTTGATTTTTATCTGACCTCTATTTTTAGTTCCTCTTGTGTCTCGAATGTGCCCAAGTGACACATACAAGGTATATAAACAAGGGTCAAAAGTGCGCATTGATACTACACTTCTTGGATTCGACCAGACTGATTGGCATCGAGGAAACACCAGCTACATTTTTCATGGTCAAAGTAAGTCAGTCATTCTTTAAATTTTTGTATTTTTTTTTGTTGTCTTTTTTTAACGAAAGTGGCAATAGGGGAAGGGGCTATTAAATTTGCTCACAAAAATGAATGGTTTCAAGTAAATCAGATTTCTTATATGACAGCTATCAATCCCCCATCAGTTCTACGTTGTCAGCGCAGTTACATATATTTCCTTCAAACACTGCAATCTGGTATTTCAGGTGAAACAAACCAAAATTCTCAAATTAAATTTGTCTGCAATTTAGCACAGTTATTTTAAAACTCACTTATCATTGGCTTCATTTCCCAAATGTATAATACCCAAGCACCTCCATTAATAAATCACAACATTCTGAAATCTATGGTATTAATCACGGCCTTTCCCTTTTTTATGATTGTTGAAATTGTTTGCTGGAAGTTTTTAAGGTGTAGCTCTTACATGTTGTTATTGAAGGGTTGAGTTAGTTTTTTTTTTTAATAGTGACTTCCTTTTATTTGATCATTTGGTTACTCACATATCCCCCAGTCACATATAATATTTTTCTATCGTTTAATGAAATTGTTCTGTCGGTTTGTAGCGGACACAGCGACTATGATGGAGGTAGACCATGAAAGTCATGAAGTGTTTGTAGAGCAAATGGAGATGCCTGTCAATATTGAACTTGGTGGAATGTTTCCTACTGACGCATCAGTTCAGTCTCGACTTCGATCGCCAATCGTCACCACGTTTGTAGATACAGAAAATATAAGTTTTGAAAGGTAAGTAATTTTATTTCTCACTAATGAACAATAGTAAGAAATGTATACACTTTTCCTCTATTGTTTTTATTTTTGCAGAAACAAAAGTGGCATATGGGGATGGCGTTCTGACAAATCAGAAGATGTCAATGGCTACTCATGCAAAGTTTTTAGCTGCAACAATGTAGCCCTTGTCACAAAAACACGCACAGAGCACCTCTCTGAGAAAGACAAGATCCGCTCAAAAATGCCCAGAACTCCACTTCATAGTTTTCTTGGTATTGCTCAGAATGAACAGGTGCAAAAAGCTCAAGGCGCACTTGTTGAAGCTGGTTCGTCATCTGACACCAACTCTGAGGTTGGTTTGTTGAGTTACCAATGGTTCTCCACATAAGGGATTAATTCAATTACATTGCTTGAAGTTTGCATAATTTTAATTTCTTAGGAAGAAGTAGTGAGAGGAAATCCTTGCAATATCTCTGCACTTGAGTATTTTGACCCTGAGATTGATCTTGAGGGTAGAGATATAGGGAGGCCAAAAGAACTGGCTTCTAAAACACAGAAATTTAGGGTAAAATCAATAAATTATGTGTTGATGGAGACCGAATTGTCAATGAGTATCACCATGTTTAATATGAGACTGTTTTCTGGTTTATCAGGCAACACTATGGTTGTGTGAAGATTATCCCTTAGCTCTGCAAGAACAAATAATGCCTATAGTTGACCTAATGGCTATCTCTTCTCCACATTTTGCAAAGTTGAAAGACTTTATTCAGATGCAACTTCCTTCCGGATTTCCAGTGAAGATTGGTAATATTCTCATTCAGTGCTGATCCTGCTGATAATCTATGCCTTCCAGTAGTTTGAGGCCTCACAATAATTTCTTTTTGCAGAAATTCCACTCTTTCATGTTTTAAACGCTCGAATCACTTTTGGTAATATCTATGGGATGGACCAAGCAGTCGAAGGTGTAACTTTTATAAATGAAGATACATGGCGTGGATGTGTTGTAGATGACTCTGTCTTTAATGCTCCAGCATCTTATATTAGAAAAGGTTAATTCTGACTCTATACACTTTTATTAATTTATTTATATTTTAATCTTATTGAATTTAATTAATAATTACACCTATTTTAAAAACTCATCCCACAAATCCTGTAGGCTCTGCTTCAAGGAGACAACATAACTTAGAGGAGGAAGATGAATTATTGCAATTTGCCATACAACAATCAATTCTTGGGTCTGGAAATGAACGAGATGAGGTAATATCACAGGTCTTAACTTAATTAATAATAACAATAACTCACTGAGACTGCATATTCAATGCTTACCTCTAAATATGGCACTTACATGACGTTGATGCACAATTGTTTACTACAGGTGGATATATGGGAAGCATTACGAGCAGCTCCACCTCCACCTCAACAGAGGCCTGCAACACCTTTGCTTGTAGGAGAAGAAGAACGTCAACTGCAAAGGTACCTTTCTTTATCTGCATCTGGTTTTCCTTGTTCTTTTCATTTGCGGATCATACATTTCAATCAAATCATATTTTCTTTTCTTTGCCTTTATGTTCTGTTTCTAAAATCCATGTATGCCTTTTATCAGACATCCATGCTTCCGACCTCATTCCCGATAAACTTCAGATTATAACCAGTTTGGTCCATTCTTTCCTTGTATATTTATATTTCCTCCTTGTTATGTCCCATTACAGAGAATCTCACCAGAGTAAATAATGTGCATATGTTGTGCAAATTTATTTTTTTTGTAAAAAGTTAATGTCCTGTCCTGTGGAAAAGGTCAATTTGTCCCGATTTATCTTTCAGCTTTTATCCTAATAATCCCATTCTTTTGTGTGTATATTTGTCCTCTATGTCATCACCAACAATTTATCGCTAGACCTGAATTTCACCTGCTTATCCTTTCCCTAGGGCAATCCAGGCCAGCTTATTAGAAGAAGTAGCAAGAAGTGACTCAGGTAGGGAGCCAAGCCTTGTTCCACTTGTGGACGAAAATCCTAGAAGTCCTCAGGATGATTCTGACTTCCAAGCTGCAATTGCTCTTAGTCGTCTTCAAGAGGAAGAAGATGAACGAATTCGTAAGGAAGAAGAAGAAATGCTGCAAGAAGTCTTAAAACTTTCAGTAACTGATAAGTAAAATGGAAAAAATGAAAATAAAAAAGAAGAAATACCAAAATTTAGGGAGTGAGAAAAAAGTGTAGCATTCAAAGTACCCTATATTCAGACTGTGCTGACATGAAGTATTGCTTTTATCATACGTGCAGCTCGTTGTCATTTAAAAAACAAAAATGAAAATAGATGTATTTGGTCTTATGTGGTATTTACACTTTGGCCACCATTTATATGTGATGCTTTTTTTCAGTTCTGGTGCTAAATTAATGAATGGAGATTTACCTATGTAACATGGTTGGTAGATTTTGAATGCAGTCAAGTGCATCTGCTATGATCCCCTTTTACATAACTTTGTATTTTATTTTATTTTTGCTTCATATTACTGACATTTAAGGTGCTTCCTATCACTTTATTTTTTGTAATATGTTTGTACCTTTATTCAAAGCTTCGTTTTTGAAGTATTTGAGAAAGTATTGTCATTGTACACTATCTGTGTAAAAGATTTTGACATAAGTGTGTGTGTGTGTGTGTTTTATGTATGTATGAGTGCGCGCGCAGAGAAGTTTTAAGTATTGGCTTGTGGTGTGCTCAACTCTCTTGAACGCGGTGATTTTATGAAAATATTAAGCATTTCATCCAAAGAACGCTTCATGAGAATGTCACAAAAAACAAGTATGGAAAAACTAATTGAATCAAACAATGTATGAAGTCATATCACTTTCATCATTTATTTTCATCATTTTGATTGGATTTGACTGCATTTAGGATCTGAGATTTAACTTTCAATGTTAAAACTTGCAATGTTTTTGTGCTTCTTTTATCGAAGAAGTATTATTACAATTTTCTTAGAACTGTCCATTGTGGCTGTGTGTCAGATGATCTGAGCAAGTTCATCATTGGCACATTTAACCAAAACTGTCTGTGATCTGCCTTGATTTATTTATAATATGTTACTATGTTTCTACTCAGTTCCATCAAACTAGATATTAAAGTGCCTAAACTAAAGTTGGTTGATTGAAATAGCCTGAAAACCAGAGGAACACTGAAAATTAAAACAACTGATTTTTTTTTTTTTTATAGAACTATTTTAATAAACACACACTTAATATTCCTTCTGGTTGAAGAAGTACAGTGGTAATTACATTTTAGAGTTAAATTTACATTCACCACTCAGAGGGACCAAACAAGAATACTTTCAGATGAATGAAATGATCTAATGACATAGCACTAAGAATGCTGTACATGACATGGCTAGATCACCAACGCAAGTGCTATCACATTCTGTTGCCCCACTACCACAAAATAACAGGGAAAAAAACAAGAGCTTGCACTTCACCAAAACACAGCAGTAAAAAAAGTAGACTTGCCATTTCCCTAAAGTTTGAAGGCAGAGTTATCTCACTACTAACAGAAGCACACTTGGCTGTTACAAAAATAAAACATTTTTTTCTGACAAATGCAACCTGCTTGTCATGAGCAAATAACACAAGTCTAAAGAAAAACCAATCATGAAAATATCTCCAAAGAACTACCTTATTGTTCTTGATGAATAAATACAAATAGCCATTTTCCCCAGATGGTTTTGGGCCACACAGAGAGGAAACTACATTAAGATGAGGAATGGATTGTTTTGAAAACCAAACAAAATAACACAAATAATGTGAATTACAAACAAGTGGGCAACAATAGTACGATGATGTACATAAATCACAATCAAACAATTCAAGGAAACACAAAGAAAAAACAAATAATGTCACAGGGCAGAGTTTGAATTTTTCAGAACACTAGGAGGACATGTTTCAAAAGACAAAAGTACACTTGAGCTACATTTCTTTGGGATTCTAACAAAACAAAAAATAAAAATAAATCTTTTACTTAGCTGGCAAACTGTGCTCAAAAATATGAAGGTACATATTCCTTTCATTAAGTTCTCTGAAAGAAACTTTTATGATAGATGCACCAAGCATGATTAAAATTGACACAAAATGCCCATTAGTGGAAACAAGTGAGAGGTCCAATGGCTTAATTCTCAGTCTCAACTTAGAGTTTCTTGCACCAGCGCAGAAACAGTTCCATGTTAAAAATGAACCAAGTACATTTGGTGTGTGATGTTCAACTCTGCAACAAAATGACTTTAAAGGTTTCTTTGCTTTACCTTCAGTTAACAGGAATTACAAAAACAATAATTAAAATGTGATTTCTCATAGCTCTTAACCAATATAATGAGCATTTTAAAGAAATCAAAAAAAGAAAAAAAGCAAATTTCTCACAGATAAAACAATGTAGTAACACATTGAATGCAACAGATTTGTACCCTTATATGACCCAAGAAGCTACCAAAATATTGGTGCTTTGCATTCAATATTATACGTTGGATTTATTAAATTCAGATGTCCTGATTGGTCAGGCGTAACTGAAAGATGAAACCAATAATTTTCCTTTCCCTTTTCACCAAAAGTTGCTATGCAGGTACAGTATCTGCAGTTGGCACACTTATCACTGCAATCGTCCACTGATGATTTACTCTCTCCTGTTCTTCTTCTGCTGCTCCTGTGAGGAAAGATTAGATTAGATGAGTCTCTGAGCCACTTTGCTGGCCAAAAAAAAAACAAAAAAACACTGTACAAGAAAGAATATCTTGTTTATTACCGACTTGAGAGACACTTACTTTGTCAGTCAAAATGATGAGAAGGCGTCGGAATATGCCAATGAGGTCGATGAAGAGATCCAAAGAATGAGCAACAAAGTCCTTATCACCCATTCGTCTTTTTTCCATAATCAATTGGGTATCGTACAAGACAAATCCGCACATGAGAAGCAAACCTAGGTAGACATGGGCCTGAGAAAGAAAATACACATCAAACCACAATCCTCAGTTTGAAAAATAATGTGAAGAGAACCTTTCCACAAATATACTACTTACCTGATAAAGGAGATAGGACTGGAAAAATATATTCATCAGAGAAAACATCAGCATGGAGCTGAGCATTGTCATCAGAGTCCCTCCCAGGTACAACCATGATCCACGACTCGCAAGAAGAGCAGAGGCAGAGAACGAAACAAAGACAACTGCAGTGCTCATGAGAGCAGTAACAATGATGCTGGGATTAACTCGTACAACCATATCTAAGAGAGGTCCCATGCCCATGCCTGAAACAATGACAAAATTATATTTTAGATTACTTTGCATTTCAGGTAGTGTAAAAGGAATAGTAACATGTTAATTGCTTTGATCAGTCACCTGAGAAGAAGGCAAATCCCAGGAGGTATGACAGGCGAAGCTGACGATTTTTGCCTGTGTCTGGGGTAGACAGCAGTAGTACAATAAGTGCTGTGGAAGCTAGTACAGTTAAAAGTCCACCAGACATCCATTGAGTGAACATGTGCACATATGCACCAGCAGCAGCAGAGATAGTTGACATGGTGAGACACGCATAAACATTGCGCAAGTGTTGCTTGACAGGTGCTTCCCTGCAAGTAATATATACGTTCCATATCAATAACTTCAAAAAAAGGTAAATTTAATTCAATAAATTAACGTAAATTAAGAATAAAACAAATTCTATAGCAGTTTATTTGAAATTTGCAATATTTTTGATCAATTGTGTCAGACGTCAACAATATCTCAAGGACCGAGACGTGAATTTACAAACAATCCAATATATAAGAAGGAGGCCACTCATTCAAAACACGCACGATAGCAGGATAAAAAAAAATACACGCCTACTGGCGACACACAAAAAGGGGGAGGATGGTGGGCCCAAGTGAAAAGGAGCAATTTCAGTCAGAACGACATATCTGAATTTAAAGTCCAAACGGTACTTACAAATTTGTCCCGAAAGACCTGAAGAAGGACTCGACGGTCGGTGCCATGACGAGCACTTAAAATTTAGACTATGTCCTTCAAAACAATAGGCGTGTTACAATAGGCAACGGCGTAGAACGCTAAAATCCTGACCAAACAATGGACAAAGTTAGCCAAGAGAACGAAACACGTAACCCTGGAATGAAACCTGGGAAACGAAATCGCCAAGTAAAGGCACAGTTAAGCACAGAATATAAGCCGTCACTCACTGCAAACACAGCTCGTCTTTTAGACGCTCTCAGTTTTGGGACACGTATGTTTTACTTTGATCATTGACGTCACTCCCAACCCAAAGCACTGGAAGCTTCCACTGCGCAGGCGCTTGGAGCGCTGTGATCGCTTCGTCATCATCACCAAATCACCACCACCACCACTACCACCTCAACCAGATCATCCGATCATCACCGAAAATCACCTTATCACCAGAACCATTCTTTCACCGGTCAGTATGGTCATATTTATTTTGTTGGACCAAGAAATTAAGATTAGAACAATTTGCTAATTTTTAACGAATAGTTTCCTTTTTCCAATGTTTCATTCTGTTTTTCTCTTTTAAAAAAAAAAACTTGTTGGACACCTCCTACGAAAAAAATGCTTGATTAAAGTTGATTCATGCTTCAATATAGAACGCACCTCTGAGTGGTTGAGGTTTTCACACCGAAAGTTGGTGGTTGTGTGTGCATGTTGTATTTGGATGGTGGTCTAAATAATTTCTATTCATTCCAGTTCACTTAAATTACATTCAATGTAAGTGATCCATTCAGACTATTTTCTAGCATTACGGTGAAATTTTTTGGAGTTAAGTCCAATATTTTGCATGAATTTCGGCGTCTTTGCCTACGGTTGTGGAGCAGTTACATTTCCATTCGTAGCCTGCCCTAGTGGTAAAGAGATTGCTTATTGTATTTTTAGAGTTCTCCAGGTTTTCCGTTGTATTTGTTTTACGAAAACACTTTCGACTGGGGAAAACTCGGCATTAGCAGCGTGCACTTTTGTTTGGTCGTTATATCCCCATTGTGTGACCCATTCCACATTGGCTAGGGCCCTCACCTCAGGCTACTGTACGCGACTGTTAAGTCGATCTAAGTGTATTTCTGTGTCAGTAATTATATCAATAATCCTTGAGCAATAAGCTGTTGACTCGAAACACATGTCACAACAGTGTCTGCATTACCCATTTGTCACTTGTCTAAAAGATCCGAGACTAAATTCATTGTTTTTGCCTGTCTGATTACCCCAACCTCTCTCCAGAAATGGTCATGCCAGATTACCTCCTTGTATTAATTTCTGTATTTCACTTTCAGTTCTAAACAATGTCTGGTATTGCCATTGCAAGACTTGCTGAGGAAAGAAAAGCATGGCGTAAGGACCATCCATTTGTAAGTAGCACACTGAATATTTCTGTGTTACTGTGACCATCTAACAGCAATGTCGGTAACTACGTCTATTTTTTTTAAACTTCCAGGGATTTGTAGCTCGCCCAGCCAAAAATCCAGACCAATCTTTAAATCTTATGGTGTGGGAGTGCGCCATCCCAGGAAAGAAAGGGGTAAGAAGTAATTGTCATTCATCTTGACGGATTATAGGTTTTCAGTTTCAGCAGATTTGAGTGGGCTCTTACGTGTCCTGTCCTCTTTAAAGTTTGTATCTCATTGCAGACTCCATGGGAGGGAGGCCAGTACAAACTTCGTATGATCTTCAAAGAAGACTATCCATCAACCCCTCCAAAGTGCAAGTTTGAACCACCTCTTTTCCACCCTAATGTTTACCCATCAGGTATGATTTTTCCCCCTATTGTGATGTAAATGGTGCTATTTTTTATCATCTCTATTATTATCTGGGGACTTGTTTGGTTGTACAGGAACAGTGTGCCTCTCCCTATTAGATGAAGAAAAAGACTGGAGGTCTGCTATTACTATCAAGCAGATCTTATTGGGAATCCAAGACCTTCTTAATGAGCCTAACATCAAGGATCCTGCTCAGGCAGAAGCCTACACTATCTATTGGTGTGTATTTTTATTTCATAACGCGTTATTTGAAGAAATTCTTGATTTAGTTTGTAACTTTATGCATCTTTATATCTATTCTCTTTGTACAGCCAAAATCGTTTGGAGTATGAAAAGAGAGTTCGAGCTCAAGCAAGGGCAATGGCCCCCCAGGAATAATTCACCTGATTATCTCTTTCATCATTTCATGACTGAAAACAGTTTTGCATCATAAGCAAATCTGTGGTGAATTTTGGTTCATCATATCTTAACTGTTAATGTTTTAAACTTAAGCAATTTTATTTTACTATTATGGCTGCAACACTTCAGTCTAGCAGTATTTTGAAACCAGTGTCAGCACAAATGGCTACAAACTGTGTTTCCTGATGAAAAATATGAATTCATTTAAAAAGATACTTTTTTTCCTTTCATTATTTCATTATTATTTAAGAAATTAGGCTTAAGGTTTGTGTATAAAATTGTCTCCAAATTTGGAATATTTTTGTTTTTATTTACCCTTTCCCCACCATTTGAACTGAACATAAATATTGGATTTGTACACTTCACAGCATACTACAAGTGAATATCAATTCACTCATGACTGGAAGGCATGAGGGTGAATGGTAGTTTAACTTAAAAGCACGAAATGCAGATTTATCATCTAAAATTTTTCGCTTGCGACCACTTACACTACTGTTCTGCCATTATTTTGATTTTCATTCTTTCCTTAAATTCTTCAGTAGTGACTTTTTTGGGTGTCCTGATTTAACTCTATATTTCTACTAAAGTGACCTGTTCTTTCAAAAGACAACGACTACAGAAAAGATGATGTGGGATCAACACCGTTCACTGCGCCTTTGGTCGAAGAATTGGACCACAACGCAACCTCTCCACTGGGGGGAAAGACAAAGTCTTGGAATGTAAAAGGCCAGAGCCAGCAGATTTATCAAACCGCACTCCTGGAGGGGAAAGTTACCACTGTATCTCTGCACTGATATGCAGTGCAGCCAGAAAAGAAGAAAATCATACATACATATGGTGAAATTTATTCTGAAATGGCCTGCATACTACAGCACAAGTCTCTGAACTTTAAAAAAAATGACAATAAATTATAAAGTAAGGGAATATAATCACACAAAACCTCAGTAAGCTATACATGACAAAAGTGAAGGTAAACATTAAGACTTCAGTAAAACACAAGAAAACTTAAAGATACGAGGTTCCAGACCCTAAATATGTAGTCTGGAACTAACACAGCTCTTAAATAAACAGGGCAAAATCTACAAAAGCATCACGTCTACAGGGTTCAAAACATGGATTAATCACTGTTATCAATGACTGGAAATGGGAAACTATGTATTTGGAATCAACTAAAATAATTAACTGCAATTATCCTATCAGGCAATTAATCTGAACTATTCACTTAAATCACATTCCATCCAGGTGAGCCAATCTGTTCCAAACTAGACATCTATAGAGGCATGGGGCAGTTGGTAAATTAAGTTCTCATGAATTTCTATCATGTATATGGCACTGTACTGGTGATTTAAATTAACCACAATTAAATAAAAGAATTCTTGTGAGAGTGATAAAAAAAATTGTGTATAAAATTTCATTAGAACAGTCCTGGATGGGATTCTAAATAGGTTTCTTTCACCACATATGAGTTTCACGAATCTCACTGATAATGTGGTTAGCCCGCTGCAAAGCCTGAAAAGTCAAAGAAAAGAAATTATTACCAGGTAGATGGCACTATCAATGGTGCAGATGTTAAAAGAATATCATGCTTGATGGTAATGATGGTCAATAGATATATCAAGGTAAAGTGACATGCTGACAATCAGCATGACAGCACACCAGCATCAACAAGAGGTGTACAGAACTATGATTGGTAATTTGTGTACAAAGGAGCCAATCACAGTACTGCAGATCCTTTCTTGATGCTGACGCTAACGTGCTGTCGTGCTGATTGTAAGTGTATCGCCTTAACTTAAAAAAGCCAATTTTACATCACCAAGCACAAGAAGGGGGCAGGTCAGAAGGACATAGGGCAGAGAAATTAATCAGCAACACTAAGCAACTAAGCAGCTGGGGATCATCTTGAACTCCAATAAGGTACAGCATCTAATTCAAAAATGAGGTAAAATAAATCTAGCCTGTTAAAACCAAAAGAAATCTACCAACCTTTAACATATCTGCAGCCTCCTTACGGCGCTGGGCAACATGCTCACTTTCACTCAACATTTCTTCTGCTTGATCTGATTTGTAAAGGTGTGTAACTAGTTCACTCTGAAGGTTGTCTTTTACATAATTAACCAGAAAATGCATGACAGCTTTTGGTACAGAGTCTTGAATTGACTTGCGAACAATATAAAAGTAAGAATTGATCAATCGCTCTGTAAAAAGAATAAAAGCTGTAAGAAATTCAGAAACACAAAGAAGGTAGAAGCTTTTACAATTCAACTACCTACCAATCACATCACAGTCTCGCTTTTCTCTATCAGACAGCTTTCTGCTGTGCTGTGTAGGAACCTCTGGCAACAAATTGACTGGTTTTTGAGGACTAAGAGCACCTGAACCGGGAGTAGCTGGAACACCTTTAGATGGGCCATTCATTGGACCATTAACAGAATTAGAAGGGTCTGAGCGAGTAGGACTAGCAGTTGGAGTATTTTCAATTGAGGTATCTTTACTATCTTTGTTTTCTGGTTTAGGCATGATGGATGCAAGCCAACCGGCTGAGTTACTTGCTTCACTGGTACTTCGATGTACTCCAACCTGCAAAGATCATATGGCAACCACAAATAATTTACAGAACTATATGAGAAAAAGTATGACTTATTTTTGAAAGACGAAAACTTACCTTTAAACCATTATCAATATTATCAACAAAGTGCATTGTATGAGGGCGTTTGTTTGATGGTCTGGACTGTTGGTGTTCATCCTCCACAGACTTCAGAAGAGAAGAAACCAAAGCTGCATCCTTGTGAAAGTCTGGATGCTTTGTATTTATGTAAGCCAGTTCAATTGCCACCAAGTTCTCTACCTAAAACACAAATATAAAAATTGGATAGAAATGTAACCATTTGCTCGTACAAAACTACAAATCCAAAAAAAAAAATATGTTTAATTTTAAAATTTTACCATGCAGTTTGTTGTTGGCAATCTCCTTCTTAAAAGGTGGGTAACCACATCAACAATTTTCTCATGCAAACGTGGAAAACGGAGCAGTTCTTGTTGTACTTCAGTACCACAGTGCTGGATTATGCGCTGCATTTCTTCATGAACTAACTCCACACAGCGTAGTGATGGTTCTTCCAAACGACGAATTTGTCGTTTAACAAGGAGTTCAAATGACACCTCAGGGACAAAGAGAGCAGGGCGGGGTCCAGTGGCATTCCGGATAGCCGTAAGTATGTCCATTTTTGTTAAGCCCGCAAGGGGATGTATAGAGTCAAGAGTACGGCCAAATGTTTCATGGAAGATGTAACAAATTCTTGCACCTCCACATCTAAAAAAAAAAATTAAAAAGATATTAGGGTTTTCTACAAAATTCCATTTGATTTTGAAAGATGTACTTGAAATAAGCAGCAATACTAACAGCTCGGTGGTTTCAATGTTCCGTGAAGTTCCCTCAATAGTTGAACAATATGCAGAGGCAAACTTCGTAATAATTTGGAGAAGAGTCTGACTCTTATCTGAAACATCCTCCCCATATGAATTGAGAAGTGACTGGAACTGTGACATCATCACATTGACTCTTGTCTGAAAATTAAAACAACAAAATTAATTAACAAGAGCAAAAACACAAAATTTTAATAACATAATTACTGGGTAATGGAGATCAGGGATAATTTCCTATCACAGTGGCAAGGTTACACTGCTAGGGGCAGTACCTCAAACCATAAATCAAATATCCGTTCAAAAAACATCATTTCCTCCATAAGAAATGCACTTGATACAAATAGGGGATCAGGAGGTAATAATTATCATAACAGCAAGGTTACACTACCACTGGTAGTACCTCAAACCATTTATCAAATATCCGTTCAAACAACATCATATCCCCCCTCAAAAAAATAAATTAGGTAGATTCATGGCTAAGGAAACCCACAGATCGAAAATTAGCTCACCTTGAGATCAGGCAAACAGTCCCGAATGTGGTGCATCAGAAGTCGGTTTAAGGTTTTTGCCAAATATGGTGTTCCATTACGTGTTGCGAGAGTTGGATACTTTCTTTGTAAAAATGCAGCTTCATCTTTCAATGAATCTTTAATACTCTGAAAAAAAAATAATATTACATTGAGTTTCCAAAAAATGCCAAATGAAAGGTCATGTCATGTGTACAGGCTGAAATAGAAAGTTACCTTGTTGTCCATAATATCCTTTTGAGATCGATTGACAACACCAATGATTCCCAGCTTAACAGGAATTACACGTCCACACAGTATGTCAATGGCATCAGTCCCTAAAAATAGAAATTCAGAATTACAATAAATTAAAGATACGGTTGTCTCAAACTCCTAAGTTACTTCTAATAAAATCCCAAATTATATAATTAAAGCTAACTGCAGAGCTGTTCAATCCATTCTTGTAACATGATGCATCTGTCAGTGACACACAAGCACATGCACAACTTAATGCAGATGATTCAGTTACAGTTATTAACCTTCCATAGAAAGGAAAAGAGAACACGATGGGTACACAGCTGCTTTAGAATCTAAATGCTTTAAGAGTTGACATATGTACACTTGATGCACACTCATTCAACTCACAGCTATATTGATGGCCTGCCAGAGGGATATTCCTCTTACTCTTAATGGGGAAAGAAACTATAAGAAATAAATGGAGGAATATGAAAATTTGATTGTATTCTGTGTTTAAGTATTTTAAGATGAGTTTACCACAAACAAACCGACCACCAAAATCAAGCCCCAATATCTTGGTGCTTTAAGCATAATTAAAGTATAGTGTACATGTAAAATTAAGTTGTCTTTCACCCACCCCATACTAGTTTCTTTAGTTTTTGTTCATAAGTTTTACACAATTGCATCTATTTGACATTTCTTTTAAAATCAAGCTAACAAGCTAATAATTGTTTTTTTAAAGAAGTAACCCCCTAATAAATATACCATATGTAAAAAGTACCTGCATCCATTAGATCAAGTTTAGTGACCACAGCAAGTGTGCGACGGCCATCTGGATCCACTTCTTTGGCAAGTTTAAGGCTCTCTGCAGTAGCCATGTCAGTGTTTGCAGTAACAACAGCAAGAATGATACTGTTAGGGTTGCCAGTATACTGGACAACTAGAGAGTGGATCTGATGCTCTATGTCTTCTGGTTGATCTCCAATTGGAACCTTAAAACAATTTCTCAAAGTGAAAATAAAGTAATAAACAAGAAAACAAATTATAAAATTAATACTAACTTTTGTGATCCCAGGTAGATCTACAAGGGTAAGGTTCACAACACTGGTAGAAAATATTTTGAGGTTGATGGGCTCTGGACAGATACCTTTGTTGGAACCAGCCATTCTTTCAGTCTCAGCCTCAATCTCTGTCCTGATCTCATCAAAATCACGATAAACTTTATTCTTGTTATGGAGGAAGCGTCCCCACTCATCCAAATTGAGAGTACCTTCATGATAGATGGTGAAAGAATCATTACAAATCATGATCAATGCATATTTAAAATACAAATAGTTTAAGTTATTCACCTTCTTCAGCTGAACGCCTCTGATCATCTTTAGGACAGTAAATAAGCTGAAGAACAAGAGGCCTTCGGGTAACAATGCCAATTCCACGGGGAAGAAATGAACGCCCAACCAAGGACTCAATAACAGAACTTTTTCCTGAACTCTGAAAATAAGACAACTCTGAGAACTAAGCAAAACCACATCAAGATAACAATAGCTTCGAAAGAGGAAATGTTAGACGAGTGCAGTCCACAAGAAGTGATAAAACATCATTTTCATGAGAAACACAGTATCGTGCCCAGATAGGGAGATATCAAGTTAAATCCTGCGACATCTAACATGCAAAAACCTATATAGAGGCTACTACGATTAAAATATATGGGAAAACGTGTTGCACAAAGAAATAATTTGGGAATTAAGAACAGAATAGACCTGGACAATTTAACGTGAACATAACCTCAATCCTTTACCTGCGTTCCAACGACAACAATTTGTGGGAGTTGTATGGCATCTGCTCCGACTGTATTAAACACATCTTGCAATTTGTTAATCACTGGTATAAGGGCTTCCATTTCGTCGGGTCTAAGGGTCCCACTTCATTCACAAAGGTGGGACTGAGCGATACGGCGATAGTATTTTTCTTCTGAAAGAAAGACCCTCTCCCCTCACCCTCACCCCACCCCTCCGCTCTTCCGCCCCGCCGCCGATCTAGCCAATCAAAATGCACTGACCGACCACATGACCAGCGCACAACTGACTCACCCGAGTGAGTCTTGAACACACCCTACCCCCTTACCAACGAGTTTGTCATACTCCATTCATCTCCGGCATGTGTTGGCGGCCGATTTCAAAGCATTCGCAACATTCGCAAATCGTATCTTCTCAAGTCAAGTCGAGCGAAGCCAAGTCAAGCCCCACCTGTCTAATGCCCAGAAGCAACAATATCAGAATTGCACAAAATGTTTGTCTAAAGATGAACAAAATGTCATATAACGGGAGCAGGAGTGGAGCGAAGAGCCAGAGCAGAGCGACAGCGCTATCTGGCGCTTGTGTCATCAACTAGTTGCCAGCCGGCTGGTTCATATAGTTGTTTACCGCATATTTTGATCTTATTCCATGTTTTGCTGTATCTCCTGTTGTCATGATTGATTAGCAGCATACATTTGATCACAGGTCTTTTTGGAACGCTATGAGTTTACGCTAAAAGCTAGAAGAGTCAATGACATTTCGGTAAAGGAATTACAAGCAGTCTCGAACCGTAAGTCAAGTGAATAATTGTCAATTGTTTACCCTCCGGATTCAATTTGGTTTTGAATGAAACCTGAAGCCTTTCAATGCCAATGTCTATCTGGTTTGGGTCTCTAATGCAGCATAGCATTTCGTTTTTAAACTAAAATCCTGAACGTTTACGTAAACATAACCTCCTCATTGTGCTTTCAAATCGAAAGAAAATTTGTTCAACTATTTTACCCAATTTGTCGCAGCTGTCCTGCCTGTTGTCACATAACTTAGTGATATTACCATTGTTTTCAGGGTACCCAGGGATTATAACCTTTAAAATGTCTTCCTCTGAAGACGTTCTTCTACAGGTCAATGAAGTCAGATACAAAAAGGGCGATGGCACTTTATATGCTATGAATGAACGTCTGGCTTGGATATTGGAGGGTAAAGACACAGTGTCTGTAAGTCACCGATATGCTGATATAAAAAGTGAGTTTCAATCTACGTGCTATATTAAACTTAAATTCCCCACAGTATCAAAACCCATTTCAACTTTTCTTTTTCAGCTCAGAAAATATCACCTGTTGGGAAACCAAAGATACAACTCCAGGTGGTTTTAAATGATGGAACCACTTCTACCTTCCACTTTGTGAACAAATTAGGTCCTGAGGCTCAGATAAAAGACAGAGATGTAGTCAAAGAATTGTTGCAACAGCAGTTGCCTAGATATCAAGCTCCAGCTAGGCCTATTAATAAGGAACTAGAAGAAAAAAACAGGTGCAACCATGTTTTTACTTTGCAAATTATGGGATTTTCTTTGCCTTAAACTTGCCTTAATTTATTTGATTTGATTTTAGATTATTGTCTCAAAACCCATCTCTTCTTCAACTTTATAAAGACTTGGTAATAACCCAAGTAATAACAGCAGATGAGTTTTGGGTGAAACACGCTACAAAATTTATGCAAAAGCAGAAAGCACAGGCACAGGAAATTGGTGTCTCGGGAGCATTTTTAGTAAGAAAAATATGCCTAAGATTTTCTTTACAATAATAACATATGTGACATTATCATTTTCTATAACCAGAACCAGACATCATTTTAATCTTGATTCTACTTTGATACAGGCTGATATTAAACCACAAACTGATGGTTGCAATGGACTGAAATACAATTTGACTCCTGACATTATTGAATCTATATTTAAAACTTACCCTGCTGTTAGAACTAAATATATGGAACATGTCCCAATTAAACTGAGTGAAACAGAGTTTTGGACCAAATTTTTCCAGTCTCACTATTTTCACAGAGATCGTATCAATGCTGGAACTAAAGATCTGTTCACAGAATGTGCCAAACTAGATGACCAAGGTTTGATTTCTCTTTTAGCCTTAGTAGGTTTGGTATTCCAAATTCTATGAATTATACTGAAATTCAATGTAACATTTTAATTTTTTTACATAGAACTGAAGCAGGATATTAACTCAGGAATTAGTGATCCACTAGTGGATATTACTGGTTTTGAAGACACCTCACTAGCTGAGGGTTATGGAATAACTCCAGATAAACCTTCATCATCAGGAGGAAATATTGTTCACCAGAGTATGATAAAGCGGCAAGTCAAACCACTGAGGTGTTTGGTAATAAATCGTATCTCAGTACTGTTTTATAACTGCAAAGGTCCATGATTTTAGATTCAATCAGCATTCCATTATGGTTTTGAAAGCTTGTCAGGAGAAAGAACCAACGCAATCAAACGGTGATGGTCTGCAGAGCAACTCTGGCTCCACAACTTCATCTGACACATCTCTTAAACCACCGGAAGAAAAGAGAGTATGTCTTCATCTACATTATTTCTTCTGTCTATCTTTCCTTAAAATATTGAAAGTAAATAACCTGGCACCATGTTAACTTTTAGATGAGGTTGATTGAAAAAGTTACATATGAAGATCTGGATTCCACATCAACTGTTCAGTCAGCTCCTCCACTGAGACTCAACTTTGGTCAGGTAAGTGACTTATGGAATCTCTCCACTTGAAGTAGGTCCTTCATTGCTATATGTCAAAAATTACCCAAATTCTAGGTGGAGGGTTATCTGCAAGGGTCTACACCTCAATCCGCATACTCCACTGAAGCATATCATAGTTCACAAGCGGATCCCAAACTCCGCAGGGATGAATTTAGGAAAGAGCTCTCTCTTTGGTATACTAGCCATGGTGGACAGAGCACTTTGGTACGTCCTGCTGCTGCAGTCAGTGCACTAGGAGAACTCACTCCAGGTGGGGAGCTCATGAAAGGCTTCATTGCTGAATCTCAAGCCCGTAAGTAGTGCAAAAATACATATTTGGAATCAGGTTTTTGGCTTCAGACTACTTTTAATCTCAAACAATATTTTTTCAGAACTGGTACCCTCAGATCTCCAGCTTGAGCTCCGAAATCTTTACATAAGTATGTGTGAGTTACTGAGGCACTTCTATGCCTGCTTTCCTCCTACAAATCCTCAACTGGAAGAAAAGGTTGTGAAAATGTATGAAGCAATCAACCGATTTCATGCCACCAGGCTCACTCCTTTTGAGGTTTGTAGCAATCTTGTTTTCACATACAATCCATTCCTGGGTTTTGGAAATTAACAATATGTATCACTTGCAGGATAGGGTAAGGGCAGAATTTTCCCCAATCCGCCATCACCTTACTAGTCACCTTCATCAGCTTATTGCTGCAGCATACAGAAGGTTTGATACTTGGAAGATGCGGCAAAAGACTGGTAGACCTTTAAGCTTAAATAAAATGTAAACATTGTTGAAATCATATTCCAAACTTCTATTCCATCCAGTGTCATCTTGATTACAAATAAATAAAATCATTTCATGAAGAAAAAAATGTATTTGGCTCAATTTTTTTTAGTACAGTATCAGTTGGTTAAATATCTACTTCATACACAGTGCCAACAGTGGAAGATTCAGCATAATCTTTAAAATGATAGCATCACACTAGATATTTTATAAATATTGACATAAAATTTGAAAAGCAAGGTGCTTATACATTAATGTTTAATGCTACTAAAATATGCACTTTTACAAGCAATCCTGCCAGATTGATTGAAAACTGGATTAGCAAGAACATAAGAAGGCACAACATCAATGATAAGATAAGATAATTTACTACAAACATGCGTATCACATACATAAAAAATAACAAAAATAGAAGGATGGAAACTGAGGGGGTGATTTTATGACAGGGTCCAGCTAAAGAGATCAGAATTGCCTTCCAGCCAAGACCAAATGAGAAAGTACATCTCCTTAGTGATTTGACAGAATCAAAATTCCAGTGTGACCATTACATTTAAGACACTCCATTGAACAACACTGAAAATGATGAGTGAGGATCTAATAAAATGTTGCCCATGATTTCTGTACAGGAAAAGTTTAAGTTGGTGCAATGTCTCTGACTAATCAGTTATATTAGCAAGAATTAAGAAATTACATTTAATTTCTTTCAATGCACACTTCTACCCTGTACAGTAAAATTCTCCCACCCAACTTTTTAATCAAATATCTAATACAAGGCCAATCTGGCAAAATTTCAGACAATTTACAGAAGCAAAAAAAAAAAAAAATGGGGGGGGAGCAAGGGATTGAAAAGGAACTATTTTTACAAGAAATGCAGATCAAATGGAAAAAGGTTCCAACTGCTTGGAGGAACCTAATAGTCTTTGAAGGAAACTTGAACTGCTTCAGAGAGATAGATCCTGAACACAAGCACATATAATATTCATTCATGTTCGCTTTAGCTAACAACTGTTACCAGTGCATTCACATAAGTAGAATAGCCAAAATAAACAATTATTGTTGAGGGATTTACAAGAAATCTCAAATTAGTGAGTGCTAAATGTTTCTTCAAAATGAATTGTATAAAATTACAGAGAGAAACACAAGAAAGTTTGCTCAAGACAATCACATAGCAGTTTGACTGCAGAAGATTCAATCACACGCATTTCTGTACCACTGAATTAAAAAAAAAACACTAATCACATACTTGCATTCACACACACAGACAGTTCCATAATTGCATTAATTTAAATTAAAACTACATTAATGGTCCTCATTCAACATCCATCTTTTCTTCCTGGGAATTTTTTTCTGAGCTATGGTCACCTGTTCCTGCTGAAGAACCATTGTCCTTACCATCCTTGGAGTCAGCTGCTGGAGGTGGCTCAACTTTAGGTTTAGACTTGGAGAGGATGGGATTCACCACACTCGTGAAAGACTGCACAAAATGAAAACCAAAGATTCTATGAGGAAAATGGGCGCAACTTGCTGCCCAGAATGGCCATGATAGGGATCAAGGGTGAAGGTAAATGGATATAGGTAAAGGTTATTAGGAGTCACAGGGATGGAAAATTGGCCATTCCTAAAGAGCAAAATTTCACACAAGGAAAAATTATTCACTTACGTGTTTTTGTTCCCGAATGGCTGAGACTTTCACAGCTGGGTCTTGAGTTTTGGTGGGAGGGTTCAGAGCAGAAGAGTTGCTATCTAACCACCGCTGCGCAGATTCTATGGAGCCTTCAACCTTCCGCATTTCCTCCTCAGAAAGATGATTGTATTTCTCATCACCAGCACGCCACTGTTCCAAAGCCTTTCTTGTCAACTGGAGAGCAGATCTTAACTCCTCAACAGCAGCTGGTCGAAGTTCGTGTTCCAAACGTCTCTCTTTGATAGGTTCACCCAATTTCTAGAGATAAAAATTGAACACATTGAAATGAAGCAAATAAGAATTTTGTGAAACAAACACTAATATTTTAGAATTTTAACGGCCTTTGTCTTGTGAGTGAGAATGACTAAACTTTGGAGGTACTGTAAATCGATTTAGGGAGTACCCACCCTGATTCAAGAGTCCAGGAGGAACAGATGAAAAAACTCCAGGTACCAAGCAATTAAGAAAACTATAGAAATTTTAAGAATCCAAAGTGAAAAACTTCTTTTAAAACTACCAAGAACTAAACAAAATTCACAAGAGGACATTTTTATTGGAGAACCTGATACAAGATCAGAGGCCAGAGTTGTAGGTCAAGTGGTCTTGTTCTCCCCAGACTCCTCCAGCAGGTAGGGACCCATTTCAAATAACTCAAAGTCAGCCTAATTAGGGAAACAGGAATTAGCCTCCAGACAAACCATTACCAAAATACTAAGCAATGTGGCTGGTTTTGAGCAAGAGGCAGGAACGGAATGTGAAAGAGAGATAGTGGCTTGACTGACTAAAATTTTCACAGGCAAAAGCAAGTTGATGTATTTGAAGAGCAAGCTTACCTTCAGGGAAGTCAGCTGATCTACATAGACTTGTCTGTTGCAGTCTTCTCCTTCCTCATACAGCCAATTTTCCATGGAATCAAGTTTCTGACACAACTCTGTTCTATCTGCCTCAGTCACGTACATTCCTAATTCTTCCTCAGCACCCAGTTTGCCTCGGAGCTCATAAACATACTCTTCCAGGGCGTTTCGGGCATCTGCTCTTTCCTTCTCTTGTTTATCATTGGCAATCATCTTGCACTGTAAATGTAGGCAGAATATTAAAAATCAGATCCATTTACAAAAGACAAGACATTTCAGAAGAATGTAAAATATATCCTACCTCCTCCTCTATATGTAAGTTAAGATCTTGCTGAGTGTAACCAGCCACGCTACTTTCAACAGGCAACTCAACAACTTTAGTGATTTGCTTTGTTTTCTTTTTGTCTTTCTTGTCACCATCCTCTTCCATTGGTTCATCCTTATGGTTGAGCTCGGATGTATTTTCAGAAGATTCTGTTGTGTCCATAGGTTCCTGTGGAGCATTAGGGTCTTTGGCCTGGGCTTCTTTGGCTTCTGCCTCCTTCTGCTCAGCTTCGGCTTGTTCTTGTTCAGTGGCATCCCTCTTCTCCGTTAGTTGGGCTCCACTTACAGAGAACATACCGTGCAGATTGACCCTGACTTTAACTTTCACCTTTTGACTCTCTCCCTTACTAGTAGGCTTAACATCTTGAACCACATACCGAGCTGCAATAAAATGCAAAATAATGACACTGATGCAAGGATTCAAATTACAAGTAAAAATCATTTTAAAAATTACCAATGAAACTGTCAGGGTACGGAATGTTTCCAGTATAAATTGCTTTCATTGAGAAGGGTTCTTTGCGGTAGAATGACAACATCTTTGTGAACGGGACAGCATCTCGTTGGTTAAAGAGCTCCATCTCACTAAAACATAAGATAACAAATCGCAAATTACAAATTTGACATCACCAAGAATGAAATGTTAATATCCACATGTCAAGCTGGTAAGAAAATCACATTCTGTAAAATTGAGGATGGGATTGCAGTATTAAGCAGGCTACTCACTGTTAGAATTAGAAAATCAAATTATAAAAAGCAAAGAAATCTTAAGTAGTTATGACAAGTACATGGCGAATTCCAGAACTACAATACACAAAACTGGAAGTATGTGTGCTATATCCTATCGAACGAGACACCAATTGAAGGACACAAGATACAGCGTACTCATGTGAGGTATAACTGAACCAATGGATGTTTCTCTTTACTATGTTGTAGTGCATGACTTCTCATTAGATATGTGAAAGGAATATACAAGCCAAAGAAAGAACAGTGCACAAACAACACTCTCTTACCGGTACCCCCTTGCATGCTTTCGGTGCCACTTAGGAAATATTCTGTCAAAAATATGAGCCCCCCTTAAAGAAAATTTCTTCTTTCTGAAAATATTGGCAAAATGAGTGATAAAGTTACTACACATCATTCAGCACAGGCATTTTCATCTACAGTACTTCCCACATAAAATGCAAAACCCAGTGTCTTTAATCGGTGATCCTTGTTCAATGGATTTCAGAAAATTGCACACAAATTTCAATACAAAAATATTTTTCTTCTAGTACCTACCCATCATCTCCCTTGGTAGCATCCCAGATTAGCTTAATGGGATAATTTTGGATATCAGTCACGCTGAAATCACGAACCCTCACAGCTGGTGAGAGCATAGCACACTGAAGGGCACATCCTCGAGAAACAGCTTCATCCTGGTTCAGTGTTGTGGATGGCGTCTTTCCAAAGACCTGTTCAAGAAGCTGCTTGATTGCAGGAACTCTTGAGGAGCCACCCACAATTTCCACTGCATAAATGTCATCCAGTTTCAGCTCTGAAAAGATTCATTATTGTATCAAAAATTTATATAAAATCAATGAGGACTGTAATCAAAGTCACTGCTATGTAGTTGTTACTAACTGCAATCAGCAAGACACTGCTTTAAAACAGCTTCAACTCGTTGGAAGAGATGACCGCTGAATGCTTCCATGTCTTCTCTCTTCATTTCTCCACGAACATCAATGTCATTCATAAAGCATTCAATGTTGATGGGGAGCTTTGTTGAGTTGGCAGACATTTGCTTTTTCAGTTTCTCAACTTCACCCAGTAAGCGTAAATAAGCACGCGGGTTGGACTTGGCATCAATCTTGTATTTTGCCTTGAATTCTTCAGCAAAGTGATCGGCTAAAAGGACATCAAAGTCTCGTCCACCAAGCTGAGGGTCAGATGCACATGCAAGCATCTGGAATCACAAAATATGGAACAAGATGTTAGATAACTAGGGACGTTGGAGAGGGGGACTTAAACCAAAAAGCGCAATGGACTGTAGAGGTGAAAGGCAGGTGCAATTCTATAACATAGGAAGCCAACGGCTTGCAGAAACTTACCTTAAGCTTTCCCTTGTTGAAGGCACAAACAGATACCTGAAGAGAGCTGTAACCACAGTCCACAAATACAACATTCCTAGGTTTCTCCTCAGGATTAGGTAGATCCTGCTTGTAAATACCATATGCCAGGGCTGTCGCTGTAGTTTCATTAAATAAACGCAGGACATTCAAACCAGCAATAGCAGCAGCATCCAGCAATGCTTTGCGTTCCACATTAGTGAAGAATGATGGTACCTGCAAATTAAAAATAAAATTGTATTCTGCACAGGCCAAAAGTACAGCATTGCTTGAAGGAACAGGCTCTTACTGATATCACACAGTCGTTCACTTTGGTCTTCAAGGCTCCTTCGGATATTTCTTTCAGCTTTGTGAACAACATAGCAGTTATTTGCTCAGGACTGAATGTGTGATTCTCATCAAGGTAATTAGCTACAATTCCTATATTGCCATTGCTTGTTTCCTCTACTTTAAACGGCAATGATTTAATTTCTTGCTGAACAAATGGGTCTTTGAATTTTCTTCCCAAAAGCCTCTTGAATCCATGAATGGTGTTTTTCATATTTGACACCATTTGATTTTTGGCAGCAACACCGATAACTCTGTTCTTTCCACTGAACGCCACACATGATCTGCAATCATATAATTTAGTAAAGAACTAGTTCTAGGGAGATCATGGAAACCCTAGAGAGAAGTGATCTGGATTGACATGATTGAATGACAGACTGTCCGCCCCATGCAAAGTATTGAGAAAAATTACTTCACAGCCTGTAAATTAGATATTACGTGAGATTGGCAATACATACAGTAATGCAAAATGTCATGCTATGTGAGAATAAAAATGGAGCCAGAAATTACATGAACATAATTGAAAGTAATCACGTGTAAGAAACTGTCGCCTGGTAGTATTGCCATATATGGGATGTGTGACTAGTGAATTGGGCCATATGAATTCTGTCATATGAGAAAGTCCCTCTGAGGAAAGTCGAACACAACGTAAGTTAAGGTGATTGTTATAGGCGCAAAGAAAAATTACACAACAAATGGAGAAATGAATAATAAACTCTTAAGAGCAATAATTTTTCTCAAGGCCTCGGAGACGTGATAGTCGAGTGACATAACCTACTAACAGACACATGAAAAACAGGCATTTGAGCGTTCAAGGCGACAGAAACGCCCAGAGAGTGAGATCAAACAGAAAGAAGCTTGCACTTGACATTGAATTCACACGCTTAAGAAAATGATCAGGAAGAATCAATACTTACGGTGTCGCTCTTAAGCTGTAGTCGTTCGCAATAGTTTCAATACCACCAGCTCTTGCTACAGCAACGTAGCAAGATTCACTACCAAAATCGATGCCAATAACAGACATTGCGGCCATATTTTGGATTCAGCTCAGAGAAAGGGCACGAAGAAATTGCACGTTTCGCTCACGCTCGAACAAGAATGATTCGGAGGAACTGCACGATCAGCTCACCGGCAAGCCGACTCTTTCCGTCCTGGTTGGCGCAGCGCAGAGCACATGGAATCGAAAGGAAACGTCTGGAAACAGTGTTCTCGAAGACACCTGTCGTCTGCATTCGAGACAATCGATACATTCCGGAGTGTTCTTCTAGGTTCTAGAGTTCCGGTGGAAGCAAACTCAAATATTTATTGTAACTTTATTCAAGGTTAGCATAAAAGTAATGAGGGAAATTTACAGAAAAAAAGGGGGGTGGGGGAAACCCAAGATGAGAAGGGAATAAGTTCTCTAGCTCGTGATCGACGGAAGAAAGATTGATGAAGTAGGAAAAACGGAAAAGCGCGCCAATTTTGAACTCTTCTTGTTGAGCAGCAGCAGATGCAGTGAATTTACCCAGCCAGAAAACAGCATATTCTGTTCGACATCAATTAGACGTCTATTAGACGCTTACGTAAATTTTCAGACCATATAGACGTTCGAAAATATACCCCAACCCCAGAAGACGTATAGTAGACGTCAAGTAGATAAAGCGTTTCTGGCTGGGACGTAGAAAGTCCCTCTGTCACCATGAGTTAATTATTATTTACTCACTGATAATCGCTGCAAAGTGCTGTTTTCGACATTGTCAAGGGCTGGGTGGGGGTGCGAAGTACTGTTGGTATTATTGCCATAGTTATTTGCAGGTTTTTATTATTGGTCGGAGCAATGGTCATCATGTCATTAGTTTTAATTTGATTTTTTAAGAAATTTTAAGAGTATAAGCGGGAAAGGAGGGTGGTGTGGGCATCATGTCATGCGAAAGTGAGTAACCTGCTCGATTCGAACTTCAAAATTGAGGAACAAGTTGTCACTCGGAAAAATAACCCGAGGGCTATGCGGGGTGGAAAGAGCCGTTGGCATGACATGTGCCATAATAGAATATTCAGCATTTGTATGAACTGTTCAACCTCGCTATGTAGGTATGCGAATGATGTGTAAACGATCTCTTGCACACAGTCTTCATATCGCTTAAATTAATGATTGCGCCAACGGCTAGCTGCGTTCTACGAAGAAGAACCGACCACCCTCACAAGGTGGGGCAACAGAAAGACTAAACCATTGAACTCTAGTCACGTCGAACATGTATTTTTGAGAAATGACCAATTGTGGACTTAATGTTTAACTTTCGACTTTTGGTGTCCCGTATTTGAGGGGGGTATTTTGGCCCTGGCGAAAAGGCTCTGCACTGGTTGGCATTCCCTCCTGCCACCGCGGGTTGAGCCACAGTCACAAATATGACCAACTCGCCAAGGGATCAGCTCAACACGGCCACTCCTACCGATGAAGAGCAGTCGGAAAACAAGCTGTGTCCTGGCCATGGGGTGGTGGTCGATGACCTCCCGGGGGCGCACACTGACGACTACTTGATCGCACTCACCCAAGTGGTCAGCCCTGGGAGAATCACCCACATATCCAGGTGACGAATAGTGCTGCAGTCCACACCACAGTGATGAGGCCTTACTACCCGAATGTCACAAACGATCCCTCAACGAATATAACTATATATTCCGTTGGCACCGCCGCAGAACTCAGGAAGGAGTGTGTGTGTTCCTGGACAGCGAAATGGAGGCGGCCGGCATAGTAGACGAAGGAGTTCTGGAGGTAATGTCTGCCTAACATACAATTCGGACAACTTTTGTGGAACACTCAGGAACAACTGAAACAACTGAACTCCAACTCACTTCCTCCGGCCGCGTCAGGTAGACGGTGTCCATTTACGGTGCCGTCCATACCGCGTGGGCTGTCACCGTGTCTGTCTATCCAACTGCCTGCCCTTCCTGAGAGACGCTGACATAATCGCCGAACTGGAAAAATTTGGACAGGCAAGAAATCCACAGTACGAAATCTCTAGGGGGCGCTCATGAATAGAGAAAAGTGTAGAGTACATACTGGTCACTGGTCCTCCGTAACGGAAGGTGTTCCCACCACTGCTGGGGCAAGCCATCCACTCGTCGGTACCGGAATTCCACCATATTAAGTCTTTCACCAAGACGGCCACCATGACATTGAACGACGTCACCATCCTGCCGGACGTCATCGGTGTGCCTTTCGAGGCGGTCCGCGTCCCCGTTTTCGTCCGCGTCGATATGGGTCTGGACCACCAGGACGGCGACAAACTTGGATGTCGCGAGGAGCCCGCACCACATCACAAGGTCCGATTCATTCGAGTTATCGCCTGCACATGAAAGGCGTCACCGACTGGCTTTGGCCTCGAGCTTGACCCCAATAACGCACTTCCGCCAGCAGGAGAGGGGCCCGTCTGCAGGCCCGCCTGGAGGCCTGCCGCCCCTTCCCCGGCTGCATGTGCGGGCGCGGCCGGGGCCCGAGCAGCGCTGCAGCTTCCGCTCGCCCGTGGACTCGTTCCTCGCGCGGCACCCCGCCGTCGTCTTGGCGGCGAGCGCCGCGGCCAGCCCCAGGGCCAGCCCCCGCGGCTCCGCCACCAGCTGTGCGAGCGCCGCCAACACCGCGACGGCACCGGCCTCCAAAAGGCGCAAGGGCTCGCCGTACTTTGTGGTGAGCCGTCCGCCGCACCTCCCCCACGCGGGCCCCGGGGTGGGCCCACCCGGGTGGAACCTGTTGCCCGACTCCGCCGCGTCGTTCGTCATCCTGGCGCCCCGCTGCAGATGGGGGCCGAGCGGTCCGGGTCGCGGCCGCCGAGGTGCGGGGCCGGGGTCGTGGGCGGCGGCTCCCGGGGTCGCGGCACGCCCGCGCGTTGCGCCAGCCGCGGCCTCCTGGACAGGGCGACTAGCGGGAGGGTCGGCGGCGGCGGCCTGCCCTCGCGCCTCGCCCCGCTGCTGGACTCGAGACTGTCCTCGCCCCGGCCCCCCAACAGCGGCGCTCGCGTCTAAGAGCTCCGCCATGCTCTGCATGGCCTCGGTGGTGATCGGACTCATACCCAGTGCTCAGGGTGAGTAGCAGTTGGTGGCCAAGAATGCAAAGAGTCTGCTTCCAGGGAAACACCACGGATGTCGTGTTCATTGATTTACTTGCAGTCCTGTGACAAGGGACGTCATACGAATGACTGCTTTGAGTCTGGCGTGCCTCCCGTTTTCTCCACGCGTGCTCTCCCGTCCTCTCTACATCACCCATACCGCACGCCACTAAGTGTACTGAAACTCCCGACAGGTCCCAGGCCTCCCCCTGTGAGGTCGAAAAACGCCCGCGCCAGGTGTTCCGAACGACTCGCAAGAGAGACTCATACATCGTAAAAAACATGTACATAAAACTTTTCCAACCCTAAGAAATGGAGTTGTTATTTTGTTTCTGCGCGAGCAAAGCGTTTACGACCTTTCCAAATATTGCGCCTCGGTCTACATTCCGTGCCTGGCTCTCGGCACGCGCCGTGTGTGTGCGTGCGCTCGCGTGTGGCCGAGACCCTATAGCCAAGCGAGCCCAGAGCGAGCCCGCCTCCCCTTCCGTATGGGCTGCCATAGGACAGGCGGTGCCACCGCACCTCGCCGTCATTCATCTCACCCGACCCCTTTTTGTCACGGCGTTTACGGCGTGGCGCGGCGC